ATCCAGTCGGTGATCTTGACACGAACACCAAGGATGCTGGCATGTCACTGCTAATAAACGTTCTTGCAGTCTCAATCACTAAACGACGCGAGTCTTATGTTGTTTTCTAGCTTTGTAGCCTAAAATGTTAGCCTTTAAACGGTAAATCTCACATTTGCTTGAAGTGAGACAGTGAGTGTGAATGAATAAATTAGACAGAGATAAACAAGGAGACATCAGCATAAAAGTAATCTGTAACACGGAAATAGACTGAGGGGGGAGAGGGGGGAGAGGGGGGAGAGGGGGCAGAGTTCTGTTACGAACTGTGGTTGTTGTGGCCAAGTTTAGGTAATGTAATTACTGCCTTATTACGTTCCCAGACCAGATTAGTGTTGGACCGTCTAGATTACCTCGTGGACGTTGTTTACTAATGTTAATACGACTTTATTGTTACGTTCTAATTTTGTGTGGATTCTAGCTTTTCCAGTTCTTTGACCCTCTCTCTCAATCTCTGTCTTTCTTTTCGTTCCCTTTGGGTCATCTCGCAGCAAATACAGACCGGTTTACCCATCCCTATAAAAGGGGGATGAATGAAGTAATATATAGTTTCTCCAGTTACTCACCCACGTCAAGAACAAGACCTTCAAGGTATGTGCTGACTGCAGAGACTCATCTAACTGCACCATATAGGGTCGTTGACGTTCCTGAAGTGTACTTTGGTGTTGGCTCCTATCTTCCTCCGGCAGGGGGTAAGGAAGCCATCACAGGAGCTTCCCAACATGCCACCAAGTATATTTCAGGTCAGAACATATTCATGCGTAAAGGAACTTTGTGTATTCATATGCTTTGTGTGTGTGTGTGTGTGTACTCCTTGAGTGTTGCCGTGGGATCTCGCTGGTGTTTGACACACCTCCACCCAATATGTGTCTGATACATGCTCTTCTGCCACCCTCAGCAGCCACTCCATTGAGAGTCAGATACCACACGCCACGAGGCAAACAGAGATTGGACACTGACAACTGTATCTGGGCCACAGATTCTGCCACGCTGTTCAACAGTGTCGACTCGTTACTGATTTGACCTACGCCGCCATTCACGAACGTAAAGGGTGTCAGGATAGCGAACCTCAAGGCTCTCTCCCCACTCCGTACTCCCTCCGGCTCATGCTGCTTGCTGGAGGGAGACGGGGGAGAGGCGAGGGGAGAGGAGGGAGGAGAGGGAAGAGGAGGGAGAGGGAGAGGAGGGAGGAGAGGGAAAAGGAGGGAGGGGGAGAGGAGAGAGGGGGAGAGGAGGGAGGGGGAGAGGAGGGAGGAGAGAGAAGAGGAGAGAGGGAGGACAGGGAAGAGGAGGGAGAGGAAGAGGAGGGAAGAGGAGGGAGGAGAGGGAAGAGGAGGGAGGGAGGGGGAGAGATAAATATAGCACTTTACCGCCCTATAAACTTTTCGTGGATTATATTCCCACAGAATATTGAAGAAGTGAAAAAGTTTTCCTCTAATGGAGGGAAGGTAAGCCTGGGGGAGGGGAGAGGAGGGGGAAGATATTGGGGGTGTATCAGAGGGGTGGGTGTAAACAGGGGGAGACTAAAGGACAAAAAAACACGGCATAAGAAAATAAGAAACTCCAGAACATCTACAGAGCTCCTATTTACACTCAAATATGGATTTCTCACACGTCTAACCTACGCTTGAAACAATCCAGGCACCCCATATCACAATACCTTCCAGTAATGTCTTCCAGATAGCAACAACACCAACGTTACTAAACCATAATTGACAAAGAGAAAGGCAGGCTCTAGCACTCCTCGAGAACAGATTTGTAATGTATGTCAATTTCCTCACAAGGCCAGTGGATAGAAGACAGACTAAGTGTGCTCAATTGTAAAAAATAATGTGATGCTGTGTTCTTTTTTTCAAGATGCCTGAAAAAATTTGAGGGGGGATGAACTTGGTTACCTTGCGATGATTTCGGGGCTCAACGTCCCCGCGGCCCGGTCCTCGACTAGGCCTCCTCGTTGGTGGACAGATCAACCAGGCTCTTGGACGCGGCTGCTCGCATCCTGACGGATGAAACATAGCCTGGTTGATCAGGTATCCTTTGGAGGTGTTTATCCAGTTCTCTCTTGAACACTGTGAGGGGTCGGCCAGTTACGCCCCTTATGTGTAGTGGAAGCGTATTGAACAGTCTCGGGCCTCTGGTGTTGATAGTTCTCTCTCAGAGTACCTGTTGCACCTCTGCTCTTCAACGGGGGTATTCTGCACATCCTGCCATGCCTTCTGGTCTCATGTGGTGTTATTTCTGTGTGCAGGTTTGGGACCAGCCCCTCTACTATTTTCCACGTGTAAATTATTATGTATCTCTCCCGCCTGCGCTCAAGGGAGTACAGATTTAGGCTCTTTAGTCGGTCCCAGTAATTTAGATGTTTTACTGAGTGGATTCTAGCAGTAAAGGATCTCTGCACGCTCTCTAGGTCAGCAATTTCTCCAGCTTTGAAAGGGGCTGTCATTGTGCAGCAGTACTCCACTCTAGAGAGCACAAGCGTCTTGAAAAGTATCATCATCGGTATAGCATCTCTAGTGTGAAAAGTTCTTGTTATCCAACCTGTCATTTTTCTTGCAGTTGTGACGGCTACTTTATTGTGTTCTTTAAAGGTAAGGTCTTCCCACATGAGTACACCCAGATCCTTTACATTGCCTTTTCGTTCTATGTTATGATTTGCCTGAGTTTTGTACGTGGTTTCTGTTTTTATATTTTAGAAAAAGTACTGGAGCAAGCACAGTACCCTGGGGGACTGAGCTCTTCACGGTTGATGATCGGGATTTTATTTTGTTGACTATTACACATTGGGTTCTGTCAGTCAGGAAATTGTAGATCCATCTGCCTATTTTTTCCGGTAATTCATTTTGAACGCATTTTATGTGCAATAACACCATGGTCACATTTGTCAAAAGCTTTTGCGAAATCTGTGTAAATTACATCAGCGTTTTGTTTGTCTTCCATAGCATCTAATGCCATATCATAGTGGTCCAGCAACTGCGACAGGCAAGAGCGCCCTGTTCTGAAACCATGTTGTCCGGGGTTATGGAGATGCTGTGATTCAATGTATTTGGTAATTTTACTTATTAGCACTCTTTCAAAGATTTTTATGATGTGTGCTGTTAGTGCTTTCGGTCTGTAATTATTTGCCTCTGCCTTATTTCCTCCTTTATGGAGTGGTGCTATCTCTGTTGTTTAGTATGTCAGGGATAACGGCAGAATCTAGGCTTTGTCTCCACAGAATGTGAAGGGCCTGCGATAGTGGTTTTGTACAGTTCGTGATGAATATGATCCCTGCATCTATTGACCCTTTCCCTTCGTCTATTGCCCATCTCCCTTGTCCATTGCCCCTTCTCCGCTCGTCTGTTGCCCCCTCTCCCCTTGTCCTCCCTATTTCTTTCCCTTTTAATTTTTCCTTTCTCTTGCTGCCTTTACTCTGCCCAAATATCACTAACCCATATCAATTACAAATTACGAATTGCCTCATTTCATTTACCCTCTTTTCCGTACCAAGTACCCTATACCCCCCTTACCAAGTACCCTATACCCCTTACCAATTACCCTATACCCTTTACCAAGTACCCTATACCCCTTACCAAGTACCCAAAACCCCTTACCAAGTCCCTCTTACTAAGTTTCCTTTACCCTATTTTCCATGTCAAGCTTCCATCACTCTCAGCTTCGCCCCTTTCCCCATAATCCCTTTGTAAATCTCCCATTCCCTCGGGTCAGAGGGCCGACTCCCCTTTCCCCTCACATGTTCCTACAAGGATAAGCTTTCATCATGGTGTTTATGGTGGGCTTAGGGACGCTAGGCAGGTCTTGTGTGGTGGTGGTGGTGTTGGGCTGGGTCTTGTGTGGTGGTGGTGGTGTTGGGCTGGGTCTTGTGTGGTGGTGGTGTTGTTGGGCTGGGTCTTGTGTGGTGGTGGTGGTGTTGGGCTGGGTCTTGTGTGGTGGTGGTGGTGTTGGGCTGGGTCTTGTGTGGTGGTGGTGGTGTTGGGCTGGGTCTTGTGTGGTGGTGGTGGTGTTGGGCTGGGTCTTGTGTGGTGGTGGTGGTGTTGGGCTGGGTCTTGTGTGGTGGTGGTGGTGTTGGGCTGGGTCTTGTGTGGTGGTGGTGGTGTTGGGCTGGGTCTTGTGTGGTGCAGGTGTTGGGCTGGATTTCATGTAGGGGAAGTGTTTTTCAGGTGTTCGTTTACATACCTAATTCTCATTACGTGTGTAACTAGTCATAACCTAATTATTCTTTCAAATGCTTTACTGGGGACGTTCGTCAGCGATACTGATCTGCAGTTAAGTGCCTCTTCTCTCTTCTTTCTTGAAAATTGGTATCATATTTGCCTTTTTCCAGCAGCTGGGCAACTTTTTCTTTTTAAGTGTATGTGTGTGTGTGTGTGTGTGTGTGTGTGTGTGTGTGTGTGTGTGTGTGTGTGTGTGTGTGTGTGTGTGTGTGTGTGCGTGTGTGTGTGTACGTGTGTGTTTACTAGTTGTGTTTTTGCGGGGGTTGAGCTTTGCTCTTTCGGCCCGCCTCTCAACTGTCAATCAACTGTTTACTAACTACTTTTTTATTTCCACACCACACACACACACACACACACACCCCAGGAAGCAACCCGTGACAGCTGACTAACTCCCATGTACCTATTTACTGCTAGGTAACAGGGGCACTTAGGGTGAAAGAAACTTTGCCCATTTGTTTCTGCCTCGTGCGGGAATCGAACCCGCGCCACAGAATTACGAGTACTGTGCGCTATCCACCAGGCTATGAGGCCCCCGTATGTGTGTGTGTGTGTGTGTGTGTGTGTGTGTGTGTGTGTGTGTGTGTGTGTGTGTGTGTGCGCGCGCGCGCGCGCGCGCGTGCGTGTTAGTACAAGTGTACGTATTAGGAATTTGTGAACATGATACGTATTTGTCAATTTTATTTCCAAAGACGTGCTTCATCCCCGTCTTGTCTTGTTGGAAGTTTCTTAATAACAAATTGTATCTTTCAGAGTAGTTTCAGTCGGTCGGAGGGTGACCTGAGTCGCGGCGACGGTGACAGCAACGAAGAGGAAGTGTTGTTGGACCTTGGTAATGACCCTCTCAAAGGCTCCTCCTCCTCGCTCTTCAAGTCATCCAAGATCAAATTGAGGTCCAGCGGGGAAGTCGAGGAAGAACTTATCCTTAACTTAGACAATGAAGCGAGCCATGCATCCTCGTCTGTGTCAATGCCGCCGGCGACGCCTTCTGCTGCGCCTGCGTCGAGGGTGACCCATAGACCCAGCGATGCTCCTGAAGGGCAACTGCAGCTTGTCATCGAGGATGAAGGTCATCGAGGGTCGTCGCATAGGGCAGTGCGGTCATCAAAGGTGAGGAGCTGGGGTGGACAGAAGAAGGAGGAGGAGCTTGTCCTTAACTTGAACGACGGGGAGCCTCGGACGACCACGCACTATGACAGGTCGTCAAGGGTGAACAGTGCCTTACTCAACCACAGCCAGAAGCCCATCCCTGCTATAATTATCGACCGGAATGTTAAGCAGGCCGTGATTGACAACAGAAGCATTCTTTATGATGAAGAAGTCTTCAATGACGTTATCCTTGAAGACTTGAGAACAGGCGCGCAATCTCACTTCGATTCTAAAAAGGCGAAAGGACTCAGCGGGAAGGTGAAAGATAAGCTCTTCCCAAATAGACATCTTCCCAAAAAGAAGAAGATGAATAGAGTCCAGAAAGTTGAGAAGTTTGTAGATTCCATCATGGTTGAGGATCTGGAGAATGAGGGCCGCGTCACGCCACTCTTCATCGGTGAGGCAGACCTCACTCACGGCGAATTTGAACGGAAAAGACAAGATATATTGCAAAGCCGAACGAAAAACTACATGGAAGGTGAAGTCGAAGTGCTCAGCCTTGATGCTTCACCTCCGTCTACATCTCGCCTGAGTCCAGCACAAGCCGAGCTCCTCGTGTCCGATGAAAGAAGAAAACACGAGCAAAAACGAAGAGAGGAAAAGAGAACAGCAATGCGGCTGGAAGGGATCGAAGAGGAGCCACAGGACCGCAGCGTGAGCCACACTCAGGAGCCGCCGCCGAAGACCGTACTCTCTCCAGAAGAATATGAAGATTACATCGGAGATGCTGTCGAGAAGGATTATCCCGAGTTAGCAGGAGGGGTTGATGCTGGATCTTCTGAGGTGTTTCAACAGCAGGACCAGACGGTGGCGCAGCAGCAGCCATTGTTGGAGCAGGAACACCCACAGCAACAGCCTCGGTCGAGTGAAGTCCAGCATCAACCAACGGGTCCTCTTTCAGGTTCGGCGTCGATGAACTTCATGGATGAGCACAGCCCAACGAGCAATGGTAACGGAGACTTTTACCACCGGTGTGTTGCAAAGTTGCCGAGAGATCCTCCTAGACATGCATCTGGTAGTTTTAGCGTAGAAGCCAATTACCTTTTAACTAGTGCCGCGGAGAGTAGAGCTGAAATCTGTAGAAGTATCCCTGAAACAAGTTTGCTAAATAACAATGAGAGTATTAATAGGTTTGCTAGCCATTTTAGAACTAGTTGTGTTGCGAGTATTAACTATGATCACAGAGACCCACAAAGAACTACAAGCGCTAGCAGTTCGACTAGTGCCTCAGCCAATGAATCAAGGAATAATAGTGCTTCAGAACCTAGTAGTATGTCTATAAGTACTGGTAGTGTGTGTAGTAATTTGTCAAATATCAACAAAAACAGATCAAACCTCTTTTTGCCAACGAGTACAACGAGCTTGCCCGAAATCTCTATAGAACCCCCAACCCCACAAGCTCCCAAACCCAACGATGGCTTTGATCGCGAGAGCAAAGTCAAGTATGACCTTAGAGTGCCTGGCTATAGAAGCATGTTCCTTACCGTACCTGGATTTGATGATGACAATGACAGATTCCTTCCTAAATATTCATTTGATTGTGACGATGAGGAGCAAAGCAGTAGCGATGATGATGTAGTCCATAAACCGCGAGCCTTTGCTTCCCTCGCAGATATGGATGGCAGCCGCTGCCTAAAGCGTTACGGCAGCAGCTGCGACATCGCCAAGTTCGGCCTGACGGATGAAGCAATTTACTCCCATGAAGATGACCTCAACGCCAACTTCGAAGTGAGTGGCCGCAAGTCCAAAGTCGGAGGAACGGGGTCGGGACCCTTCGTAGCAAAAAAGCTGGCAGTCTTCGAGAAAGTCGCTGAAGAGGAACATCAGAAATTCATCGAATACCAGGAAGTTCGGAAACGCATCTTCCGGGCTCCAAAGAAGAGCGGAGAATACATAGAGAAATTCTTCAGCCCGAAGGTTATCGAGACGATCGACGCACGAGCGTGCGCGGGGAGCAGACACGAGTACTACGACGACGAGTACGACAATTACAACGACGACAGATCCCCGACACCCCCAGAGATCATCACACCATATGGCGGACACTCCAGCCCACAGTTGCCCTCCAAGTACTCCTCATCTAGTCATGTTTACCCCAGTACTAACTCCAACCATCCCGGCTCCGTCTCGCCCTCGCAGGAATACACACATGAATCATATAACGACGAAGACTTTGACGTTTATGATTACGTCTGCGATCGCCAACACTCGCCAATACCCGCCAGTGACGAGACAGTCCTTCGCTACGACTCCCCAGAGCCCCACTCGACCAATGATGTGGATGACAGCTACTGGCAATCAACGGAGTACAAAAACATCAGTCAGCCACGAACAACTTCCCCTGGTGCAAGCAGTCCTCCTCCAGGCAGCCCCAAGGATAACCTCGACCAGCGTACAGACGAGGTAGATAAAATACAGCATCACTCTGAGATTATTCTCAGACGTTTAGTCAGTTGATATGAGGTCTTTGAACCGACTTTAGTTTTTTTCAGTTAGCTTCAGTTTGAGTCTTCAGACTTTTGAAGGACTGTTGGCTAGTACTGTTAGTGTTAAATGTCTATGTTAACGATTTATCAATGCTCTTTTTTTCCTTGGCACTCTGTTGCCCATAGTACACTCCTGCCCATCCTACACTCCTGCCCATCATACACTCCTGCCCATCATACACTCCTGCCCATCATACACTCCTGCCCATCATACACTCCTGCCCATCATACACTCCTGCCCATCATACACTCCTGCCCATCATACACTCCTGCCCATCATACACTCCTGCCCATCATACACTCCTGCCCATCATACACTCCTGCCCATCCTACACTCCTGCCCATCCTACACTCCTGCCCATCATACACTCCTGCCCATCATACACTCCTGCCCATCCTACACTCCTGCCCATCATACACTCCTGCCCATCATACACTCCTGCCCATAGTACGCTCCTGCCCATAGTACACTCCTGCCCATCATACACTCCTGCCCATCATACACTCCTGCCCATCATACACTCCTGCCCATCATACACTCCTGCCCATCATACACTCCTGCCCATCATACACTCCTGCCCATCATACACTCCTGCCCATCCTACACTCCTGCCCATCATACACTCCTGCCCATCATACACTCCTGCCCATCATACACTCCTGCCCATCCTACACTCCTGCCCATCATACACTCCTGCCCATCATACACTCCTGCCCATCATACACTCCTGCCCATCATACACTCCTGCCCATAGTACACTCCTGCCCATCATACACTCCTGCCCATAATACATTACAATCGTGGTCCCACTTTTGACCATGGTTGCCGCCTCATTAAGGCCTTGTGATACGTAACGCCCTGTGCAGCCCAGAATCTTGTGCTGTCCAAGCACTATGCTGTCCAGCGCCCTGTGCTGCCCAAGGCCTTATGCTTCCCTAGATTATATTCTTCTGTAGAGAGACTCATGCCACAAGCTCTCTCCTGCTCTAAGCCACCAGCCCCCGCTTGCCTTGTGTGATGTCAACTAGTGCGTGCGTGTGTGTGCAAGTTAACCTAAGTACCGGACCCCTCTTGCAGGTTTTGGAGATGTTAGACCACAGCTACTCTGACATGGCGCCGGAGCAAGCTGGACCAAGTCACGACACTCCTTCGTCCTGGCGCGATGAGGTCGATGCCGGAGGCGCTGTCGCAGGTGAGAACTCCGTCCCCTCTGGCACACTGCCACTCCAACTATGTACTACACTTCAGACTTGCTTAATAAATCCCATACATCATTGAGCCGCCTCGTCTCGGCTGCTTTAATAGTACGCATGATGAGCTGAAATGATCTTAAATGCATAACTATCGTGGAAATAATTATCAATAATTCCAGTACGCACGCAACACAGGCATTTGAATGTAGACCAAATTGCAGTTTCAGTCCGATAATTATTGTGACCAGAAATAAATTACCTGTAATTGTACTGGTTAGACCGGTGTTCCTTTTGATAGTCGTGCGGTTTTGTAATTGTTTTAATTAAATAATCTATAATACTCAGCTAGGATGCTGAGTCTTTAGTGATCGTCTATGGGAGAGAGAGAGAGAGAGAGAGAGAGAGAGAGAGAGAGAGAGAGAGAGAGAGAGAGAGAGAGAGAGAGAGAGAGAGAGAGAGAGAGAGAGAGGGGACGAGAGGGAGAAATAATTAAAGAGAAAGATAAGTACACTGACGTTGGACAGAACACGAGCACATTTGTATTACCAATAAAGATAAGCCAATTATACAATATGTAATACAAATAAACCAATTATACAACATGTAATAAAGATAAACCAATTATACGACATGTGATCACTTTTCTCTGCCTCCAGCGCTCACCTCACAAATATTGCCATCAGGAGGACATGTTTACAATTCGGTAAATTATTTCCGAGGTATCATTTGATGTCTTTTACCTGTGGTGCGAGGCATTACCTGTGGTGCGAGGCATTACCTATGGTGCGAGGCATTACCTGTGGTGCGAGGCATTACCTGTGGTGCGAGGCATTACCTGTGGTGCGAGGCATTACCTGTGGTGCGAGGCATTACCTGTGGTGAGAGGCATTACCTGTGGTGCGAGGCATTACCTGTGGTGCGAGGCATTACCTGTGGTGCGAGGCATTACCTGTGGTGCGAGGCATTACCTGTGGTGCGAGGCATTACCTGTGGTGCGAGGCATTACCTGTGGTGCGAGGCATTACCTGTGGTGCGAGGCATTACCTGTGGTGCGAGGCATTACCTGTGGTGCGAGGCATTACCTGTGGTGCGAGGCATTACCTGTGGTGCGAGGCATTACCTGTGGTGCGAGGCATTACCTGTGGTGCGAGGCATTACCTATGGTGCGAGGCATTACCTGTGGTGCGAGGCATTACCTGTGGTGCGAGGCATTACCTATGGTGCGAGGCATTACCTATGGTGCGAGGCATTACCTGTGGTGCGAGGCATTACCTGTGGTGCGAGGCATTACCTGTGGTGCGAGGCATTACCTGTGGTGCGAGGCATTACCTGTGGTGCGAGGCATTACCTGTGGTGCGAGGCATTACCTGTGGTGCGAGGCATTACCTGTGGTGTGAGGCATTACCTGTGGTGCGAGGCATTACCTGTGGTGCGAGGCATTACCTGTGGTGCGAGGCATTACCTAGGTGCGAGGCATTACCTGTGGTGCTAGGCATTAGGGCTCCAGTATCAGTGGGACGTGGTGGAAGCGGCTTTGTTTTAGGCCATAAAAATTTGTAATACAATTTTGACTTAACCCCTCAAGTTTTTTTTTTTTTGTTGGAAGTGGCGAGGCAGGTGGCGAGGCAGGAGAGGACGCAGGTGGCGAGGCAGGTGAGTCAGGAGGCAAGGCAGGTGAGTCAGGAGGTGAGACAGGGGATGAACCCACAAGAGGCAAGACACGCCCCCTCTTGAGGCTTCCTTCACAACCTCTAATATACCCATATGATCTACTAAACCCCTTAACGCCCCCCAGTCAATCCTCACCTCCATCGGCCAGACTCACTGACGTGTCTTCAGCCATCTCCTCTACGTGGTAAGTCCCTGCTCGCGTACACGCCTAGTCAACGTCTCGGAGCTCCAAATAGGGTTGAATCAAGTCTCTTAGAAAACTGCCCACCGTCCAATTTGCCTTCAGTAGTCCTAATTAGCCTTGCTAGGTGATCCAATGGTCCAATACAACATGAACCCTCTTAAGTGCCTTCATAATGAGTACTGACGCTTCTTCAGAAATTGTGATGTTGCAAGTACCTAGGAATTAAGGACATTGCACAAGGCCTATTGGCCCATACGAGACGACCTCACTTCTATTATGTTACTCAAGAACTGCCTTCGTATCGTCAGAACCGGAAATGGGGAATTTTCTTAAGCCGGTAACGTACTGGAGAGATTGGCTTGGCTGGCTTATGGTCATTTGATGGACAATAAATCTGTCCTTTGTGGTACTGAGTATTTTAATTCAGTGATTTTCAGGATGAACAGAACCTCCGCTTTCTACCTATTCCTTAACACCTCCTCCTCCCCTCACCCTCCCTGCCTCGGGCAAATGACAGTAACGTAACAATGAACCGACGTTGACTTAACGTTCCATACAAGGTTCCAGAACTGAGTAGATTTCATTGTGGGCATTAAGCTTACCACTTCAAGTAATTCATGTAATTTAGTTTCTGGATTAATGGAGTTTGATTCTCCATACCTTGTGCTGTGTGTGTCGGGACATTCTCGTTGATGAGTTATCTTGCTTCCGTCCAATTAGCACGCAGTGGATTGTCGACAAAGTATCCTTCCATTGGTTTTGCGAGATGTTTAGTCGCCCCGAGGTGGATCTCTTCGCTTCGGCGTTGAGCGGTCGTTTCCCCTCCTATGTGAATCCATTCCCTAATTGTGAGGCTTTCACAGTAGATGCCTTTCAGCTGAACTGGCTGAAATAGGGATTCATACATCTCTTTTCCCCCAAGTCAGTTGTTGCACAGGGTGCTGTGCAGACTGAAGCCGTGCTTGGTGAGGATGAAACCTCTGACTCAATGGTGGCCAACTCAGCCTTGATTTCTATTTCTTCTGGCTCTGGGTCTAAGCCCGAGTGATTTTTCTGTGGCAGCAACTCTATCAGTAGATCAGCCCAGAAATGTACCTCACTGGATTCTGCTCTTCAAGTCAGGAATTTCAGCTTGAGTCTGTCATCGCTTGCAGAGCAACCCGTCCTCTTAAAAATAACGTCACTTTTGGCTGGTATGCGCACTATGGCCAAATTTGGACGTAATTTGAAATGAAATCGACTCACAAAAGTGACGTTCTGTTCCGTTTTCTATTTGAGTCGTCCGGCGTACGCGCAGAGGTTATGAGAGGACACTTTAAATTAACGTTTTTCATAACGTTTTGAAACTTATGAGAATTTCCTGCCCACCTAACCTATCAGAGGACCCTTAACTTACTGTTGTTGAAAAACAAAATCCCAAATTTGTTTTAATTTTTTTTCATTTTCAAATTACGTCCAAATTCGGCCATACGGGCAAACGGCCAAAAGCGACGTTCTTTTTAAGAGGACAGGTTGCACGAGGTGGCTGGGTTATTGGTGCTCCACCTGTGTGTTTCTTCGTGGTGGCAGAATGAAGTTACCTGGTGAAAGTTATTTAATCACCTTTGTCTTTGACCACCTGTCTTTGGTTTCAGTACAGGTGATCCTATTCTTTTCTGTCGTGATTTGTTTTTGGATTCGCATCTTACACCAACTATTGTTGCCTCTTATCGTTCAGCATAGGTGGAGCTGTTGTTGCTTGCATTTGGTGTCCATATGGCTCTCTTAACCCCCCTTCCTTCCTTTCCCATCAACACTGGTGGCTGTGTTGGTGTGTTGGTGGTGTTGGTGACTGTGTTGGTGACTGTCTGGTGACTGTGTTGGTGACTGTGGTCTGGTGGCTGTGTTGGTGTGACTGTCTGGTGACTGTGTTGGTGACTGGGTGGTGTGGTGGCTGTGTTGTGACTGTTGGGTGTGGTGACTGTGTTGGTGTGGTGTCTGGTGGCTGTGTTGGTGTGGTGGTTGGTGACTGTGTTGGTGTGGTGGTTGGTGACTGTGTTGGTGTGGTGGTTGGTGACTGTGTTGGTGTGGTGGTTGGTGACTGTGTTGGTGACTGTGTGGTGACAGTGTTGGTGACTGTGGTGGTGTTGGTGGCTGTGTTGGTGACTGTCTGGTGACTGTGTTGGTGACTGGTTGGTGACTGTGTTGGTGTGGTGACTGTTGGTGACTGTGTTGGTGACTGTTGGTGACTGTGTGGTGACTGTGGTGTAGTGTCTGGTGGCTGTGTTGGTGTGGTGGTCTGGTGACTGTGGTGGTCTGGTGACTGTGTTGGTGTGGTGTTGGTGACTGTGTTGGTGACTGTTGGTGGTGTTGGTGACTGTGTTGGTGTGACTGTCTGGTGACTGTGTTGGTGTGGTGGTTGGTGACTGTGTTGGTGACTGTTGGTGACTGTGTTGGTGACTGTGTGGTGGCTGTGTTGGTGACTGTGGTCTGGTGACTGTGTTGGTGTGGTGGTCTGGTGGCTGTGTTGGTGACTGGTGGTCTGGTGGCTGTGTTGGTGACTGGTTGGTGACTGTGTTGGTGTGGTGTTGGTGACTGTGTTGGTGACTGGTTGGTGACTGTGTTGGTGACTGTCTGGTGACTGTGTTGGTGTGTTGGTGACTGTTGGTGACTGGTCTGGTGACTGTGTTGGTGACTGTCTGGTGACTGTGTTGGTGACTGTCTGGTGACTGTGTTGGTGACTGGTTGGTGACTGTGTTGGTGACTGGTTGGTGACTGTGTTGGTGACTGTGTGGTCTGGTGACTGTGTTGGTGACTGTTGGTGTGGTGGCTGTGTTGGTGACTGTCTGGTGACTGTGTTGGTGTGGTGTTGGTGACTGTGTTGGTGTGTGTGGTGACTGTTGGTGACTGTGTTGGTGACTGGTGGTGACTGTTGGTGTGGTGTTGGTGACTGTGTTGGTGACTGTTGGTGGTGTGGTGGCTGTGTTGGTGTGTTGGTGACTGTTGGTGACTGTGTTGGTGACTGGTCTGGTGACTGTGTTGGTGTGTTGGTGACTGGTGGTGTGTTGGTGACTGGTTGGTGACTGTGGTGACTGTGTTGGTGACTGTTGGTGACTGTGTTGGTGACTGTCTGGTGACTGTGTTGGTCTGACTGTGTGGTGACTGTGTTGTTGGTGACTGTTGGTGACTGTGTTGGTGACTGTCTGGTGACTGTGTTGGTGACTGGTTGGTGACTGTGTTGG